ACTCAGCGAACACAAAATCAACCACAATGAAAAAGATGAAAAGAAACATAAAGAAAAATGACTCAGCACAGAAAATTAAGTGGAACAAAGAAACTGTGAACAACACGCAAAAAAAGACATCCAAATGACAGCACTAAACTCATACCTATCAAAAATTACACTGAATGTAAATGGACTCAATGCGCCAATAAAGAGATAGAGTGGCAGATTGTATAAAAAAAATCCATCTATATGCTGCCTACAAGAGACGCACCTTATACTTAAAGACAAACTAAAACTCAAAGGATGGAAAAAAATATATCAAGCAAACAACACTCAAAAAAGAGCGGGAGTGGCAATATTAATGTCTGACAAAATAGACTTTAAAGTAAAAACCACCACAAAGGATAAGGAAGGACACTATATAATGATTAAAGGGTCAGTACACCATGAGGACATAACGATAATAAATATTTACACACCCAATGACAGGGCTCCAGAATACATACAACAAACTCAAAAAGCACTGAAAAGAGAGATAGACAGCTCCACAATAGTAGTAGGAGACTTCAACACACCACTTTTGGTGAAGGACAGAACATCCAGAAGGAAGCTTAACAAAGACACGGAAGATCTAAATGCTGCAGTCAACTAACTTGATCTTACAGACGTATACCGAACATTCCACCCAACAGCAGCCAAGTATACTTTCTTTTCCAACGCACATGGAACAATTCTCCAGAATAGACCACATATTAGACCATAAAGCAAGCCTTAACAAAACTGAAAGTATCAAAATATTACTAAGTATCTTTTCTGACCATAAAGCCATCAAAGTAGAAATCAACAACAGAAAAAGCAAGGAAAAAAAAACACTGGAAACTGAACAACACCTTGCTGAAAAACTACTGGGTTGTAGAAGAAATTAAGGATGGAACAAGTAGAAAGAGAGCAGCAAAAGAAGCCCTCAGGTGCCAGTAGAAAGGAAATAATAAGAATTAGAGCAGAATTAAATAGAGAATAGAAAAACAATTGAAAGAGTTAACAAGACCAAAAGCTGGGTCTTTGAAGAGATCAACAAAATTGATAAACCATTGGCCAAACTGACAAAAGAAAAATAGAAGAGGAAGCAGATAACCTGTATAAAAATGAGATGGGTGATATCACAGCAGACCCAACTGAAATTAAAAGAATCATCACAGAATACTATGAAAAATTGTACTCTAACAAATTTGAAAACCCAGAGAGGAAATGGGCAAATATCTAGAAACTCACTACTTACCTAAACTAACAGGAACAGGTAGAACAACTAAGCAAACCCATACCAAAGAAGAGATTGAAAAGGTGTTAAAAAGTCCCAACCAAAAGCAGCCTGGCCCAGATGGCTTCACTGGAGAATTCTGCCAAACTTTCAGAGAAGAGTTAACACCACCACTACTAAAGGTATTTCAGAGCATAGGATAGGATGGAATACTCCCAAACTCGTCCGATGAAGCCAGCATAACCCTGATACCAAAACCAGGTAAAGACACCACAAAAAAAGAAAATTACAGACCAATATCCCTCATGAACATTGACACAAAAGTCCTCAACAAAATTCTAACTGGTAGAATTCAGCAACATATCAAAAAAATAATTCACTATGATCAAGTGGGATTTATACCAGGCATACAGGGATGGTTCAACATTAGAAAAACAATCAGTGGAATCTATCACATAAATAAAACAAAATATAAGAACCACATGATCTTATCAGTCGATGAAGAAAAGGTCACATAAATAAAACAAAATATAAGAACCACATGATCTTATCAGTCGATGAAGAAAAGGCGATTGACAAAGTCCAACACCCATTCATGATAAAAACTCTCAGCAAGATAGGAATAGAAAGGAGATTCCTCAGTATAATTAAGGGCATTTATACAAAGCCAACAGCCAACATCCTGAACGGAGAGACTTTGAAAGCATTCCCCTTGAGAACAGGAACCAGACAAGGATGCCCTTTATCACCACTCTTATTCAACACTGTGCTGGAGGTCTTAGCCAAAGCAATTAGGCTAGAAAAAGAAATAGAGGGCATCCAAATTGGTAGGGAAGAAGTCAAGGTATTTGAAAATGATATGGTCTTATACACAGAAAACCCCAAAGAATCCACAAGAAAACTACTGGAACTAATAGAAGATTTCAGCCAAGTGTCCGGATACAAGATAAATATACAAAAATCAGTTGGATTCCTTTACACCAACAAAGAAAACCTCTAAGAGGAAATCACCAAATCAATACCATTTACAGTAGACCCCAGGAAGATAAAATACTTAGGAATAAATCTAACCAGAGATGTAAAAGATCTATACAATGAAAACTACAAGACACTACCGCAAGAAACCAAAAGAGACCTGCATAAGTGGAAAAACAACCTTGCTCATGGATAAGAAGACTCAACATTGTGAAAATGTCAGTTCTACCCAAAGCGATCTACAGATACAATGCAATCCCGATCCAAATTCCACCAGCATTTTTTATTGAGATGGAGAAACGAATCACCAACTTCATATGGAAAGGGAAGAGGCCCCAGATAAGTAAAGCATTACTCCAGAAGAAGAACAAGGAGGCCTCACACTACCTGATTTTAGAACCTATTATACCACCACGGTAGTCAAAACAGCCTGGTACTTATGCAACAACAGATACATAGACCAATGGAACAGAATTGAGAATCCAGACATTAATTCATCCACCTACGAGCAGCTGATATTTGACAAAGGCCCAAAGTCCGTTAATTGGGGAAAAGACAGCCTCTTTAACAGATGGTGCTGGCATAACTGGATATCCATCTGCAAAAAACTGAAACAAGACTCATGCTTCACACCACGCACAAAAACTAACTCAAAATGGATCAAAGACTTAAATATAAAATTGAAAATGATAAAGGTCATGGAAGAAAAAATAGGGACGCTAGGAGCCTTAATACGTGGCATAAACACAATACGAACCATAAGTAAGAATGCAGAAGCACCAGAAAAAAGACAGATAAATGGGAGCTCCTAAAAATCAAACACTTATACTCGTCAAAAGACTTCACCAAAAGAGTAAAGACAACCTACAGACTTGGGAAAAAAATTTTGGCTTCGACAAATCCAGTCAGCGTCTGATCTCTAAAATCTGCAAGATACTGCAAAACCTCAACAACAAAAAGACAAATAACCCAATTAAAAAATGGGCAAAGGATATGAACAGGCACTTCGCCAAAGGTTTTCAGGAGGCTAACAGACATATGAAGAAATGCTCACAATCATCAGCCATTAGAGAAATGCAGATCAAAACTACAATGAGATATCATGTCACCCCAACAAGGCCAGCATTAATGCAGAAAACACAAAATGAGTTGTATCTTTCTAATGGCTAATGACACTGAGCATCTTTTCATGTGTTCAGTGGCCATTTGAATGTCCTCTTTGGTGAAACCAAACCAACCAAACCCGTTGCCATTGAGTCGATTCCAACTCATAGTGACCCCATAGGACAGAGTAGAACTGCCCCATATGGTTTCCAAGGAGCGCCTGGTGGAATCGAACTGCTGACCTTTTGGTTAGCAGCCATAGCTCCAGCCATAGCTCGTAACCACTACGCCACCAGGGTTTCCCTTTGGTGAAATGTCTGGTAAAATCTTTTGCCTGTTTTATGATTGGGTTATTTGTCTTTTTGTTAAGTTGTTGAAGTTTTATGTATATTTTGGTCATTAGATTCTTGTTGGATATATGGTTTCTGAAGATATTCTCCCAGTTGGTAGCTTATCTTTTCACTTTGTTGGTATAGTCTTTGTTGAACAAAAATTTTTCATTTTTATGCGGTCTCTCTTATTTATTTTGTCTTTTGCTGTTTGTGCTTTTGTTATATTAGATAATCCATTGTCGAAAGCTAGGTATGACAACGTTGCCCCTGCTTATTCTAAGAATTCTGAGTTTCTTTCTTGATGCAATGTGCCTGAAAAAACCTGAAGGCCTCTTTTGTTATTATGGAAACCCAGATTTGACTCTGCTGCGGTTGCTAATTGTGTATCCAGGGTCAAAATACATACATTAAAGTTTAGAAGTAATATTTATGTATGTCTGAGTCTGCCTCCTGCACTAACTGGGACTAGCACAGTGCCTGAAGTAGGCCGTCTCATTCAACAAGTAGGCAGGTTTGAGCATATTAATGAAGTCCTGGTGGCGTGGTGGTTAAAGTGCTCAGTTACTAACTGGAAGGTCGGCCAGCTGAAAGATGTGGCAATCGACTTCTGTAAAGATTTACAGCCTTGGAAACCCTATGGGCAGTTCTGTTCTGTCCTACTGGGTCGCTATGTGTTGGAATCCACTCGACAGAAGTGGGTTTGGTGTTTGGTTTTGCGCATCTTATGTCTAGGATGGTCTTGGGGCTGGGAGCTCAGTGCCTGTTCAACATGGAAAAGAATAAAGAGTTGAAGAGCATGGCCTTTGGCACCAGACTGGTCTGGGTTTAAGGCCCAGTTCAGTTACATAACCTGGAGCAAGTTACCCAACCATTGAACTGCTGCTCATTCATCTGTAAAACAGGGTTTTAAAGGTCTGTCTTGTAGGATTGTTATAGAAGATAAACGAGAGAGAGGTGTAAAGTGCCTGCAGGCACCCGGTAAATGCTCATTCCTGTTGTAGGAGGAGTGTCTAGTGGGCCCTCTTCCTGCTCTTTAGAAGAGCTGACTCTAACTTGCTTGTGTTGCGTGGCAGCCACTTGGCATCTCCATGTAGCCTCTGTATGTGGCCCCTAGTTTTTCATTCCTTCAGAGCTGTGGGGTGTCCCTGGGTGACACAAACAGTTAAGTATTTGGCTGCTAACTGAAAAGTTGTAAGTCCACCTGGAGGTGCCTTGGAAGAAAGTCCTAGCAATCTGCTTCCAAAGATCAGCCATTGAAAACCCTATAGAGCACATTTCTACTCTGACACACATGGGGTCACCATGAGTCAGAGTCAGCATGATGGCAACTGTCTTTGTTTTATTTAAAGAGCTATGGGAGTCGTCAGATTGTGCTAGAGAAAGAAGAAACAGTACAGCTAAAACGGTTTGATGAGCCAGGTTTGATTCTCGTCGGTTTCAAGCCCTTGATCATGCTGAAGAAGCACCACTACCTGAGGCCCCCCCTGTTTGTGTACCCTGAGGAGTCCGTGGTGAACGGTGAGTGCCGAGACGAGGGCTAAACGAGTGCCTCTGACCCAGAACGCAATTTGTGGAACAGTGTTTCCCAAGTGGGTGCTACTTGGAAATTGTTGCAGGACAGGTGGATGGGGTGTTTGGAAATGTTCGATGTGCAAATAAATTTGGGAAAAACTGGACTAACCAAAGTTGAAGAGGTTTCTTCAGGACCTTTAATTTGTGTATGTCCAGGAGGGGCATATGGAATTTAGCTTTCTTTCCCCCAGATTTATTTCCTATGGAATTCTTTCTTTGAGGCATCAGATAGAGGATAAACACATGCACACACCCACAACCAGCTTCTTCCCTCGTGTTGGCATTTAAAGATGATGTGAACTCGGCCGCTGTGCTGATTTGTGCTGTCCAGACCTATTTTCCTCTGCGCTCTAGCTAACGAACGCCCTGAATCTGACCTGACTGGTTTTCACAAGGAGTCAGGGCTCATGTCATTAGCCTAATGTCAGTAGAAAGTAAACGGTCACTAATAGTTCGCACTCCTGCATGGAGTGGTTGAGGCTTCCAAACCTCTTATTCCATTCCTTTCTCTTCCTTTCTAGGCTTCCCTCCACCCACTTTCCCCTCAGCTCTGGGTCCATCACCCCTTGTCTATTGTAGACTCTTTTAAGAAAATGGAAAAGAAATTGTAGACTTACAACATGGGTTAAGAGGGAGGAGAGGAGGCGACATCTTTAGGATGCAGACTGCTGGGACCTTTGTTTTCCAGGGAGCACAGCCCTGTTCAGTGCTCTACTCACCAAATGTCTGGAGAAGGAGGTGATGGCAGTGTGCAGATACACACCCCGCCACAACAGCCCCCCTTATTTTGTGACATTGGTGCCACAGGAAGAGGAGCTGGATGACCAGAAAGTTCAGGTGACTCCCCCAGGTATGTGGAAGAGAGATTTTCAGGGGTTCTGAACCTTGTCCAAGCTTTGGGATCACTCAGACCTATTGAGTGGGGCCTGGGAAGTGGGTATTTTTAAGGTTTCACAGGTGAATTCGCTGCACAGCCAGGTAGGGCCGTCAAATACGGTTGTGCAGTGCACAACATGCACAACCATACGAGGCAGCTTTGCAGCCAGGGTTGAGCGCTGACTCTTAGGGACTGTTTCCAGGTTACTGGCCCAAGTTCTTGGGGCCTCACTCCCAACACCTCCTTTCCAAAAACCATAGTTCAGCATCCTTGTGATGTTTAATGTTTGGTTCATCACCTGTATATGCCAAGGCAATGGAGAGACTGGGTTTTGAGGTCAGACTTCACTGTGTATGTGAAAGCTTTCTTTTGTTTCAGGCCCATCCCTGCCACTTATTAGCTTGCCAGCTTGGGCAAGTCATTTAATCCTTCTGTTTACATCCCTTATCTGCAAAAACAGGAATACGGGAACACCCTTCTCTCAGGTTGTTTTGCATTTGAAATAATTTAAATGTACATGTGCCTAGCACAGAGTATTCAACAGCTGGTACTTTTCCTTCTTCCTTTAGCCATGCTCATAAAACTTTATAAAGTAACTCTCAATATAATATATTGAAAAAAGTGACACTTTCTGGTCATCAGAGTACTCAGGAGTAGGTTTGTATGTCAGTTACTAAGTTACTGTCTCTCAGCTCCAGATTCACGCTGCTGTTCTCTGTGCTGCTGGGGCTGGGACCAGAGTCCCAGTTTTGCCTTTGCTGGCTGTTAGGCTCTGTCAGTAGGAGGTGCTAGAGGCAGACTATAAGGCAGAGGAGAGATAGAGACTTGCCACTTCTTGTTTGCCTACAGCTTCTGTCAGCATTGTGGGTTCCAGTCTTCAGATGTTTCAGCACTCTGGAACCAGCCAGTAACTGGAACAAGATAACGCTTTCCTCTTCACTTTGAGCTTGTGGTGGAGGATCTGGGAGCAAAGGAGAGAGGCTGGAGTTATCAGAGGAGGGCCCGTTGGAGCTGGGGCTTACTCTCTGAGGAGGGGGCAGAGGTATCATCCAGCTGGCTCAGGATGTATCAGAAAAGCTGGAGACTGGAACCCGCTGCCGTTGCCGAACAAAGGGCCTGTGCTGGAGCCATACTGACAGAACAGTCAGCATACAGGACGGAGTACATCCCTTCTTTCCTTCCCCTGCCTTCCAGTCTCCTCTGGAGATTCCGGAGGGACTCTGTTAGGCAGAAGCTAACAGGAGGCAGCTGGTAAAGGAGGAATGGAGTTTTTAGGGACCCAGCCCCAGCACCACAGGGCATAGACGGGTGAATTTGGAGCTGAGAAAGAAATGACAACTTAATAAGTGACACACTTCTTTAAATCAAATCTTAGAAAACTCTTATCTCTCTACTTCAGGCTTTCAGCTCATCTTCCTACCCTATGCCGATGATAAACGGAAGGTGCCCTTTACTGAAAAAGTCTTGGCAAACCCAGAGCAGGTGGACAAGATGAAGGCTATTGTTCAGAAGCTCCGCTTCAGTTACAGGTGAGTACTGGGTCAGTCTGAGGCTTTCTTCTGGACTGCCTCCTACCTTGAAAGTCTTTTTAAAAAGTCAAGTTAGGCATAGACCAACAGAATGTAATTTTATTCCTTTTGATTAACAAGCGATTATTACTCTGACAGATATAGTGGGTGGAAGCTCTTGTTATATTGAAGACTGTAGGATTGTGCTACATGCTTTCAGCTCAGTGACCTGTTGTGCTGGGCGTAAAAATTGGGATTCGTGAGTTGAGAACGTTCAAAACAGCAGCAGTAAAGGGGCACTTAGTCTGCCTTCTCCTTGGTTATGTTTGTTGTCACGGAGTGAGCAAAGGTAAATGAATCCACAGTAAATTGTTACAGGTTTAAGGGAGTGATCATATGACACAAATCATTCCCTCTCAGAGCCTGCAAAATGTGATTCCAAATGTCGTTTGCTTTTTACCTTCCACCGTTTGTCTTGGGCTATTCCCTATACCTCTGGGCAACGCGACACCTCCCCACCCCCCAAGTATAGCCTCCTGGTGTACCAGGTAATGGAAGATCTAGCTTCATTAAGAGTTTTACCATGTGCCAGACACTTCTAGGTACAATGCCAACATGGTCATTTATTCTTCGTAAGTACCCATCTTCCAGATAAGAAAACTGAAGCTTCAAGGAGTGAGGCATCTTGCACAAACTCAGCCAGCTGGAAACAGATTAAGCCAGGATTCAAATCTAGGTCTATCTGACTCTAGATTCATACTCTTTTTACTCCCATGCTGCCACTGGGTATGGGAAGAAAGAGTACTCAGGCCCAGCATCCTCCCCATTCCCCACCATTCCTCCTCCCTCTTTTCTCTGCACTTACATGGCCCTAACTCCTCCATTTCTGTCTCTGCCCATAACTTCCAGTGACAGGTGGGCAGGTATTGTTTTGCTTTTAAATTAACTTAGATTTCTAGCATCAGACAATTAACTGAAAATTGGAAAGACAAGATTCCCAACCGTTTGACTTGGGGTGTTTTTTGTAGCTGACCTTGGATCTGTTTTACTTCAGTTGGGTTTATTTAATTTTATTTTTAAAGTGTTTAAATTTTATTTACTATTTTTTTTTAATAGACTTACTTTTTGAACAATTTTAGGTTAATAGAAAAATCATGCAGAAAAACAGCAGAGAGTTCCCATGTACCTCCTTTCCCCTCTGCATGCTGTTTTTCCTGTTAACATCTTACATTGTTGTTAGGTGCCACCAAGTCGATTCCGACTCGTAGGGACCCCATGTACAACAGAATGAAACACTGCCCGGTTCTGCACCATCCTTACAATCAGTGTTATGCTTGAGCCCATTGTTGCAGCCACTGTGTCAGTCGATCTTGTTGAGGGTCTTCCTCTTTTTCATTGACCCTCTACTTTACCAAGCATGCTGTCCTTCTCCAGGGACTGATCCCTCCTGATAACATGTCCAAAGTATGTGAGACGAAGTCTTGCCATCCTTGCTTCTAAGGAGCATTCTGGCTGTACTTCTTCCAAGACAGATTTGTTAGTCTTGCATTAGTGAGGTACATTTGCTACAACTGATGAACCAATACTGATACATTATTATTAACTAAAGTCCATTTTCATTATAGTTCACTTTTTGTGTTGTATAGTCCTATGGGTTTTGATAAATGCATGATGTCATCTGCCCACCATTACAGTATCATACAGAATGGTTTCACTGCCCTAAAAATACTCTGTGCTCCACCAGTTCACCCCACCTCCCTGCAACCACCGATCTGTTTACTGTCCCTATAGTTGCCTTTTCCAGAATGGCATATAGTTGGAATCACACAGTATGTAGCCTTTTCAGACTGGCTTCTTTCATTTAGCAATATGCATTTAAGGTTCCTCTGTGTCTTTTTGTGGCTTGATAGCTCATTTCTTTTGTTTTTTTTTTTAATTATTTGATTTTTGTTGTCATTGAGAATATACACAGCAAAACCTATACCGCTTCAGCAGTTTCTACGTGGACAATTCAGTGACATTGATTACATTCTTCGAGTTGTGTAACCCTTATTTTCTGGGTTGTTCCTTCCCCATTGACATAACCTCACGGCCCCCTAAGGTTCCTGTATCATCTTTTGTGTTGTGGTTATCAGCTTGATCCCAGATAGATAGATCTTAAAAGAGCATAATGCTCAAGGCAGACATTCTTTACTAGTTAAGCTATTGTTTGGTTTTAAGAAGACTTCAGGAGATATTTTTGGTTTAAGATTTAAAGATTATCTCAGGATAATAGTTTTAGGGGTTCATCTAGTCTCTGTGGCTTAGAAAATCCAGATTCCTGAGAATTTTAGATTCTGTTCAGCATTTACCCCCTTTTGGTTAGGATTCTTCTATGGAATCTTTGATCAAAATGTTCAATAATGGTAGTCGGGCACCATCCAGTTCTTCTGGTCTCATGGCAAAGGATGCAGTTGTTCATGGATGCAATTAGCCACACATTCCATTTCCTTCTATTCCTGACTCTTCTTCCTCTGTTGCTCTAGTACAGTAGAGACTAATTGTTCTGCCTTGTATGGCTGCTTGCAAGCTATTAAGACCCCAAGCACTACTCAATAAACTAGGAGGTAGAAAAGAAGCACTAAACACATTATTAGACCAGTTAACTGGGATGTCCCATGAAACATGACCCTAGACCTCCAAACCAAGGAACCAAATTCCATGAGGTGTTTGGTTGTACATAAGAAGCCTCAGCCCTCAGTAGCTACTCTTTTTTTTTTTTTTGTCATTGTAAATATATCTATTACACAACTTTGGCCAATTCAACTTTTTAGAGGTGTACAACTTATTGACAGCAATGCAATTGGCTCTGCAACCTTATCCTTTATCAGTGTGATGTTTGCCCACTTTTTATTACTGGATAATAATCCATTTTATGGATATATCACAGTTTGTTTATCCATTCACCTATTAAAGAACATCTTGGTTGCTTCCAGTTTTTGGTAATTGTGAATAGTGCTGCTATAAGCATTCGTGTGCAAGACTGATTGGTTGATTGCTTTTTTAACAGGAGTGATAGCTTTGAGAACCCAGTGCTGCAGCAACACTTCAGGAACCTGGAGGCCTTAGCTTTGGATTTGATGGAGCCCGAACAAGCAGTAGATCTGACGTGTAAGAAGGTTTTGACTGAGTTGAGAGGAGTTCTTTTCAGGGAGGCCTTATTGATTTCACCCTGGAATGGTAATGGGGATACATAACCTAGCACTCTCCATAGATGCAATCTAATCCTCTAGACCATCCCCTGTCAGAGAGACTCTCTAGGCCAGTTTAGGCTGCTTGGGAAAGGGTTTGCTGGCGGGGCTGCAGTGAGACGAGGAGCAAGTGTTAGCCTTCTGAAGTCTGCCTTTGAATTAGGCCAGTTCATGAGGACGTGTTGGTAAAAGTTTACATGAAATTTACTGAGTGCTCACTGTCTGCCAGATGCTTTTGTCCCACGTGGTGACTAATTTAACTCTCATAGCTCTGAGGTAGGGGCTCATATTGCCCCTCTCTTAAGAAGAACAGGGTACAGAGAGGGCAGTGATTTGCCCAGGGTACTAAGCTAGTAAATGGTGGATCTAGGTTAGGAATCCAGTGAGTCCAGCCCTTGCTCTGAACCATGATGCTCACTGCTCCTTTTTCAGACTCTGTGCCCAGACCCGAGAAAACCCACTTCATTACCCAACATCAGGGAGACTTGCCTGGCTTCTGAGGCTGAGGCTCTCCAACCTGCTCAGGTCGCCTTCCCAATTGCTAGTCTCTTATGTATTTCATAGGAGGATCCATGAAGTTTAGCGATGGAAGTAAGTTTCCACTGGGAAACAGATTGGATTTTAGGAAGCCTCTTGACAAGTTAAAAAGATCAAACAGTTGATCTGGCCTTCTCAGATGTTTCTTCTCATTCACCCTTGCAGCATTCATTCATTCAACACAGTTCTTAAATCCCACACTCTGAAGTGATAATTCAGGCGCCCTGGTGGCACAACGGTTAGGGTGCTCAGCTGCTAACCAGAAGGTCAGTGGTTCGAACCCATCAGCTGCCTGTGGGAGAAAAGACCTGGAGATCTGCTCCCATAAAAATTATAGCCTAGAAAACCCTATCGGGCAGTTGTACTCAGTTCTGTAGGGTCGCTATGAGTCGGAATCAACTCAACGGCATACAACAAAAAAGTGATGATTAGTAAAACTAGAAAGAACATTGATGAAAACTTATCCTTTCTACTGCTCCTGCCTTCTGTCTTATACTCTTTCAGTTATTACTCTGCACAGCTATCCGGGTGATCTTCCTAAAATGCCCATCTGAGCGTGTTGCTCCATTGCTTATAGCTCTTCAAAGTTTCCCCACTAGTTACGGTTTAGGTGGCACTGAGGTTATGTTGGAAACCCTGGTGACGTAGTGGTTAAGAGTTTGGCTGCTAACCAAAAGGTCAGCAGTTTGAATCCACCAGGTGCTCCTTGGAAACCCTGTGGGGCAGTTCTGCTCTGTCCTAGAGGGTCACTATGAGTCGGAATCAGCTCGACGGCAGCAGGTTTGTTTTGTTTTTGTACTTTAGACGAAGGTTAACAGAACAAACCAGCTTCTCATTAAACAGTTAGTACACATATTGTTTTGTGACATTGGTTAACAACCCCATGACATGTCAACACTCTTCCTTCTCGACCTTGGGCTCCCTATTACCAGCGTTCCTGTCCCCTCCTGCCTTCTAGTCCTTGCCCCCGGGCTGGTGTGCCCCTTTAGTCTCGTTTTGTTTTATGGGGCTATCTAATCTGACAGGGTGAACCTCAGGAGTGACTTCATTACTGAGCTAAAAGGGTGTCCGGGGGACATACTCTCGGGGTTTCTCCAGTCTCTGTCAGGCCAGTAAGTCTGGTCTTTATTTGTGAGTTAGAATTTTGTTCTACATTTTTCTCCAGCTCTGTCTGGGACCATCTGTTGTGATCCCTGTCAGAGCAGTTGGTGGTGGTAGCCGGGCACCATCTAGTTGTGCTGGACTCAGTCTGGTGGAGGCTGTGGTAGTTGTGGTCCGTCAGTCCTTTGGACTAATCTTTCCCTTGTGTCTTTAGTTTTCTTCATTCTCCCTTGCTCCCAGTGGCGTGAGACCAGTGGAGTATCTTAGATGGCCACTCACAAGCTTTTAAGACCCCAGACGCTACTTACCAAAGTAGAATGTAGAACATTTTCTTTATAAGCTGTGTTATGCTAACTGAGCTAGATGTTCCCTGAGACCATGGCCCCTGGCCCTCAGCCCAGCAATTCGGTCCCTCAGGGAGTTTGGATGTGTCTATGGAGCTTACATGACCTTGCTTTGTATAAGTTATGTTGGCTTCCCCAGTATTTTGGTTTTTTTTTTTTTTAGGTTACGTTAATGGTGGTGGAATAAATCAGAAAAAGATAGTGACAATGGTCGAACAACATGAAGATTGTAATCAAGGCCACTGATTGTACATGTAAAAATTATTAAATTGGCAATGTTTTGTTATGTATATTTTTACCACAGTAACAAATGACAGTGTCCCCACTGCTCTGAGGATGAGGTCTAATCCTCAGCAGGTGTTGAAGGCTTCCCTGACCTCGCCCCACCAGCCTTCCAGCCTCCTTGGGTGGTCCTGCCCTCCTCACAAGCAGGACCTCAAACTACACGTTACCTGCTGTTGTTCACGTAGTGTCTAGCTTGGTGGTTAAGGACTCAGGCTTTGGAGACGACTTGAATCCCAGTGAGATGCTGTTATCCTATGTCGATTTGAATCCTGGCCTTCTCCTGCTTGGAGCAGCATCTGCCCAGGCTTTGCCGCAGAAGTCCTTCCTGCCCCTTCCACGCTCATGTGCCCTCTACACCCCTTCTCTCACGGCACTGCCCCACTCTGTTGGGTTTATGCTTTTACCCACCTAGACTGTAAGCCCACTGAGAGCACGGACTCTGACTTAACTCTTGCTTGAATCCCCAGAGCCTAGGCCAGACTCTACATCCCAGCTCCACCACTTACCGGCTGCTTAACCTTGGGCTAGTCATTTAACCCCATTGCTTTCCTTCCCTGTAAAACAGGGAGACCGATTTACCTACTCCATAGGGTTGTTAGGATTAAACAAAATCATCAGTTTAAAGCATTTAGAATAGTGCCTGGCTGTAGTAAGTGCTCAGTAAATGTGATTGTTAGAGGTGCTCGGTGAATGTTAGAAAGACTTTATTGAATGTTCTTGTGGTCAGACCAGCTGCTTCCTTGCCAGTCCTTCCCCCGGCCTCCTCCAGCCAAGCAGTTAGGTACCCTCTTCTCTGCTTCCAGTAAAGTCCCTGGAACTGGACAGGAAGCCAGGGCTCATGACTCACCCGGTCACTCTTGTGCTTTGATTTTCTAGTGCCCAAGGTTGAAGCAATGGATAAAAGACTGGGCTCCCTGGTGGATGAGTTTAAGGAGCTGGTCTACCCACCAGATTACAATCCCCAGGGAAAAACTACCAAGCGAAAACAAGGTGAGGAGCTGGGTGTGGACATCAAGGGGGTTAGTTTAAAAAGTTGCCTTTATGGTCTTACCACAAAGGATGATTTCCTTTTATAAATTACTCTGCATATACACAGACACACACGCACACACATTTCAGCACAAATGGCATCGTATTCACGTTATTGTCTAGCTTGTTCTTGTGTTACTTAGCTGCATATGTCGAACAGTTTTTATCTCCACACTTACACATTGACCTCATTAAGAAATAAGGCTGGAGTGCTCTGTTGAGTGGGTGTGGCCTGTACTGATGGGTGTGCGGTGGGGAACAACCACTGTGTATGTGTCAGGAGATCCTTAGGGTGGCTGCCGAGCAGTGGGATTGCTGGGTCAAGGAACAGATTGCCAGACTGGCTCCGAGAAAGCGGTAAGAGTTTACACTCTAGCCAAGAAGGGATGACAGCACTTCCCTCTTCTCTCACCAGTCCTGGACTTTGTATACATTTTTAAATTTTTTCACAAAAATGATAGAGGGAAAATTATATCTTGTTTTGATTTGCAATTTTCCACTTATAAGATGTAGCTTTGACATATATATGTGTATATATGTGTTTTATAATTTATTTTTTGTTGAGAATGACATTTATGTATTTTTATATTTTTCTTCTGTGAAATTCCCATTAATGGCCTTTATCCATTTTTTTCTGTTGGAGTGTTCTGTTTCTTGTTGCTGAACCCATACTGTGACTGTTATTCTTCTCAGGAAAGCACTTGTGTGTTCCTCATCATTTTGGAATACTAGTTCTGGCTTAGGTTGTAATCTTTTTGGCTGTCTTTGGTCAAATAAAGACACATTTGGGCCTTCGTTGCCTGACAGATTTGTGAGCAAACGGAGCTGTAAGAGGTTAGCCTGGTGGTCATGGTGCTTTCCTCCTTTCGCGTCGGAAGTGACTCCCACGGCACCCTGTGTATAGTGCCGTCACAGCTCTTCACACCCTGTACACGATTTAGTGATTTACTAGTGTAGCTCGCTCAGCCTGCACATTCCTGTTGCCTAGCACAGTGCCCAGGTACATACACACATACTCAGGTGTTCTGTGTGAAGGAGGGGAGAGGGAAAGGGGAGAGTGGGGAGGGAAGGGAGGGAGGGAGGAGAGAAGGGAGGGAGGGAGGAAGGGAGGGAAGGGGCAGGGAAGTGTGGGGAGGAAGAAATGACTTGCTCACCCAGAGCAAGCAAAGTTTTGGGTAAACTGATAGCATTCATACTACTTACTAACTCCCTCCTAGGTGTGTTACATTTGTGGTTTTACACTTCAGTGATGCTGCCTTATCAACACACCTCTCTTCCCACGGTGTTCTAGGCAGGTGCCATAGCTCTGTGGCAGAGGTTAACTGCAGCCCAGATCATGTGGGTGCCCCATGCAGGGCAGCTGGAATGCCTCTGGTAGCATGACAGTCACTCCTCCTGACCTTTTCCCCTAGATGATGAAGATTCTAGAAACAAAAGGCCCAAGGTGGAGGTATCTGAAGAGGAGCTGAAGGCCCACGTCAACAAGGGCACATTGGGTAAGCTCACTGTGCCCATGCTGAAGGAAGCCTGCAGGGTGTATGGGCTGAAGGGTGGGATGAAGAAGCAGGAGCTGTTGGACGCACTCACCAGGCACTTCCAGGAGGGCTGACCAGGCCGCACCCCCAGCCACCCTTCCACACTGTACCTGGGCATCCTGGGTTGTTCTCATTAGTGGAAAAGTGTTTCTCCTGAACCAGGAAGAGTGTGCCTGACAGAAGCCCAGGGGCTTTGTTATGGGACTTTCTGTTGCTATGGAGACAGTGTAGCCCTTCACTTTGCTGTGCCTTACTCTCCTGTCTGAATAAAGAGCCCTTACTTTGTACTACATGCGGTTCTTTAGTGTGAAAGAGAAAGATGTGTTTGCTTTGCATCCAAAGATCACTTGCCATTGGCTCTTAGCCTAATATTCTCTCCCATTGGGAACACATTATCACAGTGGAAACAAACATAAACAGGGGTGGGTGTGTGTGACAATCAAGGACAGGTGAACGTATTTCAAGATTATCTTCTCCTGACCCTCTGTCCTCCTACCTGTTTTCTTCTAAATGTGTCATGTTAAGGTCTAAAAATCAAATTTCAGAAGCAGTAAGAATGCAGCATTCTAATTCTGGTGCCATTTGCTTCATGAATAAACAGCAACCCCCCATCCCATCTTGTGTCCCTCTTATGTCACATTCAAGTATATGGAAATATACTACATACATTTTCTATTGCCTTGAGAATTTGAGTTCCAGTGTAAGAGTGCGGTGTAATGAATTACTTAATATGGCCCTTCTAGCCATAGTCTTTGTGACTTACAAACAATTATTGAGTAGGACCATGCAAATAAGGTATATGGAACCCTAACGAAGGGATCGGTCAGTTTTGCCATCCTGCTAGGCTTAAAATGAGCCGTTCTAGAGGCAGGAGAGGATCTCTACCACCAGCGAGAAAGAAGAGCCAGCATCCTTTGGACCCGGGATTCCTGTGCTGAGAAGACAGACAGAGGGCTGTAACACCAAAGACGGCAAGAAACGGTGGCAGAGAAATGGTGGCAGCAGGGGAAAGAGACTGGCAGGACATGGGCGGTAGGCTTCCCAGCCCGTGGAGTGAGACAGCTGAGCGCCTTCAGGCAGGGTCTTAACTAGCGGAGTGGGGTGCCTTGGGGCATCTGTTGGCAGAGCTAAAAGCTTTGTAACACTTGCCCCAGCAGTGCAGAGGTCAAGGGGCCAGAGAGAGTTTTACCTGCAGGCAGAGCTGAGAAGAGGCTGTCCTGATTGGAAGAACTGTATCCTGAGCGTTCCTGAACCTGAATTGTAACCAGTTACTTTCCTAATAAACCCTGTAATTGTGAGTATTGTCTGTGAGTTCTGTGTGGCCATTGCAATGAATTATCAAACTCAGCAGAGAAATAGAGAGTGCCAGGGGAGGGACAGGTGGTGTCAGAATTGGTAAAGATGGCGGAGAGAGTATGTCTGACCTCAGCCTCATAGGAGTCAGCCTTGGGCTTTTGATCTTGATTCTCCTTCCCCCTTGTGAAGTTAGAGAAGGTTAGGTGACTCTGCCACACCATTTTTACAAAGACAAATGAAAAATTACTTCCCCTTGTTTCTCAGAGGGGCTGTAGGGAGTTCAAGATGAGGAATGACCCTAGTATTGAAAAGGAAGAGGAGTGGAATGTCTTTGCCTTGTGTTCTTTGTCCCCTTCACTCCCCTATCCTCCCTGTCACTTCCCTGCTGATTCTGCTGCTGCTTTTGAAGATGAGCCTGAGGGAAGGAGGGAAAGCATCAGGAAGGGCTTGTGTCCTCTGAGGATGACTGGAGATACAGGGTTTGTAGGTCCTTGTCTTTCAGAAACCCAGGACTACAGTGAACACCTCATAGGGAGGAGAGTGTCCCATCCCATTGCCATTAATTCCAACTCTAGCGACCCTATAGGATAGAGTAGAACTGCCCCATATGGTTTCCAAGGCTGTAATCTTTACAGAAGCTGACTGCCACATCATTCTGCCACAGAGCAGCTGGTGGGTTTGAACTGCCGACCTTTCAGTTAGCAGCTGTTCACTTAACTATGGTGCCACCAGGGCTCCTGAAGGTGTTGTGAGGTGCTGTCAGGTCGGTTCTGACTCATAGTGACCACATGCACAACAGAATGAAACACTGCCCGGTACTAGTGGGGAAAGGTGCCTCGGGAAAGCTAGAGTGGAGCTGAGGTACTTTAGCACAGGGCCCTGGGGTGCTGACAAAAACACTCCTGCTGTCAAGGGGGCTGGTGACCATTAGGTGGGGATTCCTGTTTCCCTTATGTCCAAAATAAACTCCCCTGTCTGGAGGTTGTCTGAGTCTTGGATCCTTACCACTGGAAGCGCTTTATTAGGACAGCCTCATTTCCCACTTTCCGCCGTATGATGCTCTGCCTCAGCCTCAGACCTGAGCTCCGTGTCCATAGCTCTGCTGTGTGTCCCAGGACAAACTACTGAACCACTCTGCAAGCCAGTTTCCTTACCCCGTCATGGATTGAATGGTGTTTCCCAAAAATATGTCAACTTGGCTAGGTCATGATTCCCAGTATTATATGATTGTCTACCATTTTGTCATCTGATGTGATTTCCCTATGTGTTGTAAATCCTATCACTATTATGTTAGTGAGATGGTTTATGGCAGTTATGTTGATGAGATCTACAAGATTAGATAAAGAGTCTTAAGCCAATCTCTTGAGATATGAAAGAGAGAAGAGAGAGCAGAGAGACATGGGGACATCATACCACCAAGAAAGCAGTGCTGGGAGCACAGTGTGTCCTTTGGACCTGAGGTTCCTGCACAGAGAAGCTCCTAGGCCAAGGGAAGATTGATGGCACGGACCTTCCTCCAGAGGCGACAGAGAAAGCCTTCCCCTGAAGCTGACACCCTGAATTTGGACTTGTAGCCCACTAGACTGTGAAAGAATAAATTTCTCTTTGTTAAAGCCATCCACTTGTGGTATTTCTGTTATAGCAGCACTAGATAACCAAGACAGTTGCTATGAGTTGGAATCGACTTAACAACAACAGACATCTTTCTGGCATTATCTGCTTTCAACCAAGATCCATCTCACATCAGCAGTGATACCTCTTGTTCCACATCCTCTTCTGAATCTGGTTTGAATTTCTGGTATTTCCTTGTCGATGTACTGCTGCAATCGTTTTTATCTTCACCAAAATTTTACTTGCATGTGGCATTAATGATATTGTTTGATAATTTCTACATTCTGTTGGATCACCTTTTTTTGTAATGGGCACAAATATGGATCTCTTCCTGTCAAGTTGGCCAGGTAGCTGTGTTCCAAATTTCTTGGCATAGACAAGTGAGCACTCCAGCGTTGCATCCATTTGTTAAAATATCTCAGTTGGCGTTCAATTACTTGGGCTTTGTTTTTTGCCAATACCTTCAGTGCAGCTTGGACTTCTTCCTTTATTACATTGGTCCTTGATCATTTGCTACCTCCTGAAATGGCTGAAAGTCAACCAATTCTTTTTGGTACAGTGACTGTGTATTACTTCCATCTTCTTATGCTTCCTGTGTTGTTCAATATTTTGCCCATCCAAAAATCCATTGCTGTCGAGTCAATTCTGACTCATAGCAATTGTGTAGGATAGAGTAGAACTGCCCAATAGGGTTTCCAAGGAGCAGCTGGTGGATTTGAACTGCTGACCTTTTGCTTAGCAGCCAAGCTCTTAACCACTGCGCTGCTAGGGCTCCATTTTGGCCATAGAATCCTTCAATATTACAACTAGAGGCTAGACTCACCCAGAGGCACCTGGGAAGACAGGCCTGGTGATCTACTTACAAAAGGTCACAGCCTTGAAAATCCTATGGAGCAATTCTATTCCGTACACACAAGGTTGTCATGAGTCGGAATCAACTTGACAGCAAATAACAACAAATACTTAAGGAGCCACAGTAACTTTTCAGTCTTTCTGGTTTGAGCCCAAAGTGTCCCTGAATGTATAATAAATATTATAACTTTGACTGCATCATGTGTGAGAGCCAGCCCTAGATGGGATTTACTCCTGCGGTCTCATAGGCAACTGTGAGCATTTCAGATCAGCTTGTGGGCCCTGCCAGCACTTGCAGCATTCTTCATTGTCCTGCAGTTTTGACTTGACCATATTTAACTGCTATTTTGGCAAGACATCCTCACCCTTTTATCACCCCCCAACACACCTTAGTTATCTACTGCTGTGTTAACAAAGTAACCCCAAAACCATCGGTTTAAAACATTCTCTCTCACCATTTCTGTGGGTGAGGAATTTGGGAGGGGAGTGGCTGGGTGTTTCTGGCTTGAAGTCAATCATGAGGCTGCATTCAAGATGTTCACCAGGGCTGTGGTAACCTGAAGGCTGGACTGAGGCTGGTAGGTCCATGTGCTGGGAAGCTCGTGTCCATGGTTGGAAAGTTGGTGCTAGCTGTTAAGAGGCCTTAGGTCCTCTCCATAGAGCTTCATAACATGGCAGCTGATTTCTTCACCCATTGCCAGGGAGCAGTGAAGGCAGAGCTCCAATGTCCTTTATGAATCCTTGTAAGTCACGTCACTTCTGCCATACTATATGGGTCACACAGCCAGCTCTGAGGCAGTGTAGATGACTACACAAAGGCACGAATACCAGGAGGTCAGGACCATTGGAGGCTGGCTACCACAGGGCATCGTGGAGAATGTTGACTTCCCTTCCCATAGTCCAGTTTAATCTTTGTCTGAAGAGTTGGCCTCGGGCATGGTTTTAGTTTTGTCTAACATAGAGTCCAGGGGCCACATCTTCCGGGGTCCCTCCAGTCTCAAACCATTAAGTCTGGTCTTTTTACTAGAATTTGACTTCTACGCCCCACTTTTCTCCTGCTCCGTCAGGAACTCTGTTGTTTCCTGTCAGGGCATTCACTGCTGGTAGCTGGGCACCATCTAGTTCTGGTTTTGTGCTGATGGAGTCTCTGGTTTATGTGGCCCTTTCTGTCTCTTGGCCGCCCCATGTCTTGGGGCTCTACTGGGTGGCCCTAGTTTCTATTTAGACAGGGGTTGGATCTCATAAATCCCCCACCACCAATTTTTTCAGTCTTTTGAATTATAAAGATACATATACAAAAGAACATACAACTAAAGTAAGCTGGGGAGGGAGCGGGGATGACACTGGAAGTCAGCTGGAACAATAAAGACTAGCCCAGTAGACACAGAACAAGCCTTACTTAGCATGTCAGGGTGCTTTCTGAGGTCCCCTCAGGTATGTTTCAAGGTACTTACCCTCAGATAAAAAGAAGAGAGGCAGGTGGCTTTGGTCACTGCCGCCACCTCCCAAGTCTCCCCACCTTCAAGCATGTGCCCAGGGTTACTAGGAGCCATAATTCTATAGCAGCAGGTTTTAACTTGGGGTGAGTTTACATGCTAGGGAACATCTGGCCATGTCTGGAGACATTTTGGTTGTCAAAACTAGGTGGATACTACTGGCATCCAATGGGTAGAGGCCAGGGATGCTGCTGAACATTCTACAATGCACAGGACAGTCCCCTACAACAAAGAATTATCCAGCCCAAACTGCTGAAGTTGAGAAACCGTGTTCTAGATTGACAGCCCTTCCCATGTTGCCAGCTTTACCTGATAGAAAACATACGAAACAACAGATGTAACCTGGAACAGAATGCAACATTCCAATGACTAAGCCTGTATAAAACAAGACATTCTGAACTGCCACACCAGAAATCCCCTGGTGGAATGTGCTGGCTTTTCCAGCCTCTTGGTGAAAAAAGTTTTGAGAAGCTATAACCTCTCTAGTTGCACTATTTCTTCATTCAAGTATTAGCTGGACACCTACCAAGAATCAGGCCCTGCCACACTGGTTGTTTAAACTGGAATATGAATATATTCTTTATTAGAATGTTCGTAAGAATGAATGATACATTAGCACTGTCCCTCTGATGTAGGAGGCTACATCTGACCCACGTTGTAGCAGGAAGCAGAGGTGAGGGTTCTCGGAGTCAGCACAAAGTGTCCACTGAAGAAATCCTCATTTGCCAGAGGAGGAGGTTTCCTTGGATTCCATCATCTCCGCTGCAGGCTCCAGCCATTCCCAGAATCCTTCTTTCCAGCACTAGCTGACCCTCTTCCCTTGCTACTCTTGACTCCTTCAAGACCTAGGTCGACTTCCCACATCTCCCTCACCCAGCTGCCTCTGACCCTTGCGGCACGTCCCTTTGGTATGCTGCTGCCCCGCCACCCTCTGGGGATAGAACATATCACATCACTAAAGCAAACAGCAGGGGTGCACTAGTAACTGACGCTTGCAAATAAGCCTAAGAACCTCATCAGACACAAGCTTCCTCAAATGACCCATACTCCCCTAGAGCAAAGGAAAGCCCTGGATCATTAACATTTATGGAATGGTTGTGTGTGCCAGGAACAAGGGATGCAAAGTGGACAGTGTTTACTTCGGTCACACCCTGCTGTAAGCCCGCACACAGGAGGTAACCAGAAGTTAGCAGATGGAAGCTGGAACCAGATCTCTGCCTTGGCTCCCTCAGGCTTCTCCTGGCCCTTCCCTGCCTTTGAACATGGCCACCATGCTGCTGCTTCCTCCACTGGGTATTAGTTCATTGTTAAAAGGCAGTATAAGGAGATGGCAGAAGAAGAAGAGAGAAAAGGAAAAACAAAAAAAGCCCGTAAAACAAAACAATAAAAAAATCCAGAAACCATCCGGGACTACGATATCTTTTAACAATTACGAAGTAGCTGAAAACACTATACACTAACACAACCTATGACACACAACCCTGGGGAGGAGTCAGTGGGCAGAGTGGCAGAGGCCGCAGGCTTAGACTAGGAGCCTCTCGATGGACTGCTGAATGGACTGGATCTGCTGCTTCAGCTGTGAGCCTTCCTTGATGGTGACAGAGCAGGCAATGACAGGCCTGGACACACCGCAGGCCCGCCCCAGGGCCTGCTTGGAGCGCACAAACACATAGGGCACGTTCTTGTCTTCGCACAGCAGAGGGAGATGCAGGATGATCTCCAGCGGCTCGGCGTCTGCGGCCATCACGATGAACTCGGAGATGCCTCTGTTGAGGGTTTTGGTGGCTGTGGAGAAAACAGGAGATGAGACCAACAGGTAACGTGGGGCTTGGGATAGTGAGCGGGACAGCCACAATGAAGCGATTTCCAGGGAAAAGAAAAACTAGTTCAAGAAAACTGGGCAAAACCCCCTAGCACAAGCAATTCTAGGTTCTGGAGTTGCCCTAGGAAGCGGTAAGGGATTCCAACACCAATTAGTCACTCAAATCCTACACCAGACCCATCAGTTCTATGTTCAAAACACATCCTGAATCTGACCACTTTCCTCTGCTGCCACATGTGTTCAAGTCACCACCATCCCCCACCCAGCCGACTGCAACAGCTTCCACACAGGCCCCTGCAGCACCAGGCAGTGCAGTCAGCGCTTCTCAAACTAACTGTGGTCAAGGATCAGGGCTTACCCGCTCAATCTGCAGTGGAGCAATACTTCTAGAAAGCTCACACCGCAGGATATTTACCACGCAAGTTCAACAATACCCCACAGCACTGTTTCACCTGCTTACTCTTGATTGCTTCCCTCTCCCTGCTTAGAAAAACTCTGAACATTTAATAAATATTAGTTTTCTTAAAACAAAACAAAACAAACCACCACCAAGGACCAAAGTGCTGGTCCATGGACCACACTGCACAGTGCTGGAGCGGTGGTTAAGAGCAGACTCCAGAGCCAGACTGCCCAAGTTCACATACTAGCTCCCACTCTCATTAGATGTCTAACCTCCCCCAGTGGCATCATCTGTAAAGTGGAAACAATATTTCTACCTAATAGGATTCTTAAAACGATTAAACACTAACAATAATGCCTGGCATATAGTAAGTGCGAAGTATATGTTAGTTTTGTTGATATTACTACAGTTTATTCTCCACATGGAGTGATTCTTTCATTAAGGGTAAGTCAAATCATGTCAATCTTCCTGCTCAAAATCCTTCCAGTGGTTTCCCATTCCACTTAGAGAATAGTGTAAATTGCTCTAACAATGGCCTCCAAGGTCTCATGTGACCTGGCTCCTAGTTACCTCTCATTCCCTCACCGGCTCCAGTGACACCAGCCTCTCTACTATTCCTCAAGCAAGTCAAGCTTGCCTTTGCAAGCCTAAAAATGCCCCAACACTCTCAGGTATTCAATTCTCTGCCCAAACTGCACCTCCTTAGAAAGACCTTCCCTGAATACTCCATTTGAAAAGATCCCACCAGTCATTTCCACCCCCTTAACCTTAGTCATTCTGAGGACTAAGGCATGCCTGACCCAAGCCATGGTATTTTCAATCACCTCATATGCATGAGAAAGCTGGACAATGAATAAGGAAGACTGAAGAAGAACTGATGCTTTGAACTGTAGTGTTAATGAAGAATACTGAATATACCACGGACTTGCAGGAGAATGAACACATCTGTTTTGGAAGAAGTATAGCCAGAATGCTCCTCAGAAGTGAGGATGGCAAGACTGTCTCACATACTTTGGACATGTTATCAGGAGAAACCAGTCCCTGGAGAGAAGGACATTATGCTTGGCAGAGGGTCAGTGAAAGTGAGGAAGACCCTCAACAAGATGAACTGCCACAGTGGCTGCAACCGTAGGCTCAAACATAGCAACGATAGTGAGGATGGCACAGGACCAGGCAGTGTTTCGTTCTGTTCTGTTTTACATAGGGTTGCTATGAGTTGGAACCATCTTAATGGCACCTAACAACAACAACCACAGAAAACTACTTGTCATTGGTTAGAATGAGAATATGCTGCATTATCTCTGAGCAGAAGTACTATTATAGAGTTAGTTTACTAAAAAAAAATTACTTAAAAAAAAAAACACCAAAAGGGGATGTTTCTGATCAATGAGATTCATGAATGTAAAGTTCCCTGTGTATCAGAGATATTCAAAAACACTACTACCTTTTTCCTTCTATGGTTCTAGGAAGATCACAAAGTTAATACACACAATCTCTATAACTGATTTTCATGGTTTAGCAAAAAAGCAAAAGGAAAACAAAAACAGAGAGAAAAAGAAGTAAATGTGGCAAAATGTTAACAATTGGTGGATCTAAAAAAAATTCTTAGCTCACCAACCTTTACATCCAATGACAAAATGCTGTCCTTAAGTCCTCCAACTGGCCAAAGTCAGGAGTATCCAGTCTTCCCTCCAAACTGGAACTCTAGACCGCAGACAGAGAGCCTACTAACGCTCCCACGGGCCCACCCTCTGGTGCTCCTTACCCTCATTGGCTCCTTTACGAAGCTGCTTGTAGTTGCAGGACTGCTGAACCAGGTCTAGTAGCTTCTTGGTGAGGTGGGCATCTGCGAGGGGATAGGCTTTCGGATTTACATCTGCCTCCGTCTAGGGGGGAAATCAAAGCATCAGTCAAGATGAACCAGAAGTTGTTCCAGACAAGTTACAAAATACTTTAACTAGCCAACACTTGAGACACAGTGGCCAGCTTTCCTGCCAACACACACGCTGAACACCAGCCTGTCCATTCCCCCGCTTAGAAAAATGAAATATTTAAAATTAGGGTCTTAAAAAAAACAAAAAACACTAAGTTAGCAATTATTTAGTCTAATAATGTACAGTAAAGCTCATGTCCATTTATTTGTCTCTCTTAGCCTAATGCCTGGTAACACTACAGCAAATGGATTCTAAACAGGGTTCCCATAGTCGGCATCCATTTGAGTCACATGGGGTAATCTTTAAGTTTGGATTTCTAATTTTATGGAATCAAAATTAAAGTAAAAGGTACAGTAAACATAGCACCAAGTTCTCTCTATTCTCCATTCCATATTCATATCTCCCTGTGTTTTCAGTGAGAACCATTTCCCAACACATAATTTCTGAACCACAAAATTGGTTTCAGAATTCAGAATTGTTATACCAATACTACTTCTACTAACAACAAACTCACCAAAGTCAAATTTCTTTTTGTTCTTACTAAAGTCACATACAGTACTATGTTCAGAGCTATTCAGATTAACTTTTTCCTTGTGGTTATCAATCTGATACACAATTTAAAAAAACCCAGTTGCCATCAAGTTGATTCTGACTCATGGTAACCCCATGTGTATCACAGTAGAACTGTGCTTTCCATAGGATTTTCAGTGGCTGATTTTTTGGAAGTAGATAGATCATCAGGACTTTCTTCTAAGGCACCTCTGGGTGGTAGACTCGAACTGCCAATCTTTCCTTTCAGTTAGCAACTGGGTGTGTTAACCTAGGGTTTCTTTTATTTCTACTTGTGTTCAATTTGCTTTTTTTTTTTAAAAATAATACTTTAGCTGGAATCACACAACATGTAGCCTCAAATATATAAAACATCTACACAGTTTAAAAGTCGTAACTATGCTAGTAAATCAACTGTTTTGAAAACTGCTAAAGTTAAACAAGCACTTATCCTGCCTTTCCTATACAGACTGTATCACCAGGTAAACAAATAGATGACTAGTTTCTCTTGACCATTATTCCACCTAATAAATAAAGGAATGGTATAATTAAATACCACCATCTTGGGACTCATAATCAGTTGATGGATCCAGACATTGATTAACAGCTACTAACACCACAGAAGACAAGTAGACACCACATGATCATAGTCCATGAAGAACAAACACCAAGGATCAGGTAGTCTTAAAAGAAAAGAATCTGATCGAGCCTTTATAGTCAACTTTCAACTTAGAGGAAACAGAGAAGATGAAAAAACATGTTAACCAACACTCCAAACATGGTACTGTGCTAAACTCTATAGGACAAAGGACCATGTTTCTTCAGCAAATAGTTTGTACAGAAAAAAAAAAGGGAAACCTATAAGTTCAGACATATGAAGTATTCTAATACTAAATATTTGATGTTAAGGAATTTTTAAATTTTGGGGTGTTATAAGACAGTGGTTACGTTAAAAATTCTTTTTTTTTTAGATGTATACCAAAATCTTTATGGATCAAATGACACACCATTGGGATTTGTTTCCAAATAATCCATGTTGGAAGTGAACTGGGTGGGTGGCCTATTCCATTCCTTCCACCTCACTCCCACCTGTCCAGTTGTCTATTTTCATTTGTCCTTCCTGTGCTTCTTGTTACAAAAATATATACCTATGTATATATATGGAGAGAGCCCTGGTGGCGCAGTGGTTAAGAGATCGTCTGCTAACCTAAAGGTCGGTAGTTCAAATCCACTAGCTGCTCCTTGGAAACCCTATGGGGCAGTTTTACTCTGTCCTATAGGGTCGCTATTTTACTCTGTCCTATAGGGTCGCTAAGAGATGGCATCAACTCGACCGCAATGGTTTTTTTTTAAAAATATGTACAGACATGCACACATACATATAAATATTCTAGGTGCAGTTTCCATATGGCCATTGCATGTGTAAGCGGTTGGTCTGCGGTGATCCTGTGTAACCCTGGGATGGGAGCCTGGACTGGGCACAGGGCACTGCAGTTCTCGGAGATGATCCGTAGGTGACTGCCCAGTGGGAGCACTCACCATAGCATCTGCTTGGTGAAGTCCGGATACTGCAAGGACGCATATATGCCCCACCACTCAGGTAGGCGGAAATGACGTACTAGTGATGCCAGAGGATGCGCCATCACAGGGCCAGACTGCACGAGACACCTGGTCTCCTTCCCAACACACTGCACTGGGTGAACCAGTTATGGTCCCTGGATGCTAGGGAAGAACTAAGTGAGGGCTGGAGTTCCCGGAAGAAGTGCCTCACTGGAGTGGGAAAGAAAACCCTCCATATTTTAAGTTCTTTGCTCTCCTGCATAGCTTTTTGGACCCCTGCTGGTGCAGTGGTTAAGAGCTCTGCTGCTAACCAAAAGGTCAGCCGTTTGAGCCCACCAGTCGCTACTTGGAAACCATATGGGGCAGTTCTACTCTGTCCTATAGGGTCGCTATGAGTTGGAATCGACTTGAGGCAATGGCTTTGGTGTTTTGGGTTACATAGCTTTTAGAATCAGCTTCTCAAGGTCACTCCCCTCCACCCTCCCCCAAAAAAAAAAAAAAGTCTGCTGGGATTGATTTATAGGTTTGATGCAATCTCAATTTGGGGAAACATCTTTAGGATACAGAATCTGTCACTCCATTAAAATAGATTTATTTAGCTCTTTAGTGTTTTTAAATAAAGCTTTATAATTTTCTCCACAAAGGTTTAATTATCTTTTTAGATTTATTCTTAGATACTTCGCACTTTAAGTTAAGGAAATTCACTAAGAATTTTTTCCTTTATGATGAATTGGTGGTGAATTTTTATCAGATTTTTTTGCACTGACTCAGATGAATAAGATTTTTCTCCTTTAATCTGCTAATGTAGCCAATTTCAGGTACAGACTTTCTAATATTAAGCCATATTGCATTCCTGAGATAAAACCAACTTAATCAAATAAAGTTTTCTTTTTTTAATTTCATTTTGCTGGATCCCTCAGCTAAGGGGTATAAAATTTCTTTTTGGGGTAACAAAAAACTCTAAGATTATAACGATGTTTGTACAACTCTGTAAATATACATAAACTGTATACTGTAAGTGGGTAAACTTTATGATATGTAAATTATCCCAATAAAACTTAAAAAAAACAACAACAACTTAGGCGCAGAGTTTTTATCATGTTGAATTTTTTTACTTAATTTCCTTTACTATTCAGTTTTTCTCTTGAATTGGTTTTGGTATGCTATTTTTTCAGGTACTTGTTCATTTTATCTAAGTTTCTATATTTACAGCATAAAGATTGTTCATAATATCCTTTTCTTTGTCTTCTTCATGTCTGTTACTGCCTATTTGTATGTTTTCTCTTCTTTTCTTGCTCAGTCTCACTGGAGAGAATTTTTCAAAGAATCCTGATTTTGTCCATTCTATAACAATAGGATTTATTTTCTATTTCAGTAATTTCTACGTTTGATTTTTCCTTTCCTTCTCTCTTTGGGGTTATTTTGTTCTCCTAGTTTCTTAGTCCTTTCCTCCCTAACATAAGCATTTAAAAGTCTAAATAACGCTTCAGCTGTACATGCTCTGGTATGTGATATTTTCATTATGGTTCAGTTCTGTTTTCAAATTTCCATTATGATTTATTTGATCCATGAGTTATTTATACCTTTATCTTCAAACACTAACTTTGTTATTTATTTCTAACTTATTTGCATTTTGGTTGAGAACATGGTCTGTATTACTATCAGTCTTTTAAAATGTGTTGCAACTTGCTTCATAACCTGTAAACCCATTGCTGTCCAGCTGATTCCGACTCACAGCGATAGAGCAGAATTGCCCCACAGGGTTTCCAAGGCTGTAAATCTTTACAGAAGCAGACTGCCACATCTTTCTCCCTAGGAGTGGATGATGGGTTCTAAGCGCCAACCTTTCAGTTAGCAGCTGAGTGCCTAACCACTGCGCCACCAGGGCTCCTGCATGAGCTACTAGGTGGCCAATTTTCATACATGTTCCTAGCATGAAAAGTGTCTTCTATAGTTGTTGCCTGCAGTGTTCATTTACTAGATTCCCTATGTCCACTAGATCAAGTTTATTCACAGTGTTGTTCAAATCCCCTATTTCATGTTTTGTCTGTGTGATCTATCGATTACACAATTAAAAAAAACCTGTATATTTGTCTATTTCTTCTTGTAATTATGTCAGTTTCACTTTATTTGTACTGTATTTTGTAGCCATCCTCTATATTTACTGATGCCTTTTGCCTTGAGATCTTTCTCTCTGTTACTTATACAGGCTACACTACACCTTATTTTTAATTAGCATCTATTTACATTCTTTTTATTTTCAACTTTTCTGTATTCTTATGCTTTAGATGCACCTCTTTTAAACAGCATATAGTTGGGTTTTTTTTAAATTTAAACTGACAGTCTGTCTTTTACTGTACGCATTTAGACTCTACATTTAGGTATTGATATGTTGGGTTCAAATCTTCCCTTTTGTGCTTTCTATTTGCCCCACCTATTCCATTTTTTTCTTTTTTTCCTTCCTCTGGAGTTATTATTTTTTCAATATTTCCCCCTCTACTGGTTTGGTATGTCTGAGAAATCACAGTGTATCTTTAAACTGATCAAAATCGAGTACCTTCGTCCTCCTCCCAAACCATAAAAGGACTCGACAGCACTTTAACTACACACACTCCTCATATATATATACA